CTAATGACTATTTAAGAAACATATGGTATTTTCTGAACAGAATTTCGTCTGTGTAACAAGAATTTGGACCTCGCATATGTAACTCTATATGAGCAATTTTTTAATGAACTCTTCTGACGAACACTCCTAGAAAGTGCCGACTAAGTACCAGTTTTTATTTTCACGATCTCAGACTTATTGTTGGTGCGTTTTTTGTGAATGCTATTTGTACTCTGAATTGTTCGTTCTTTCATTTGTTGGGCCAATCGGTCATATTCGGAAAGACTGTCATTTTTAGTTGAACAATTTCGAATTATCGCCCCAAACGAGGCCTTAAACACGAGATCCGACTAAGTCTGGGTAGTTCAACAATCTTATCTCCGACACACATCCTCCATAAAATTCGCCAATACGTCCTCAATGCCTACATGTGTACTTAAGCAGTTAGGCCACGAAGGACAAGAATACTGGAATAGCCATTCCTGGTTTATCTGCTAACATCAGTCGTCAATCGGTGTATTTGGAGTCAGTGAAGGAGGACCTTGAGAACTCTATTTAGACGGTACAAGTGTACGTAACCAGCAGTTGAATTATTTTTTACAGGTTGCTGGAGTGTGCAAAAATGCAAAAATCGAATATGGAAAGATAACAGTTTAAACATTTATAGAATTTGTGAAATAACAGCGGGCAACGCATTCACTTCAGTTGTACGATGGAATGTTCGGCAGAGTGTCAAAGTTAACGGTAGCACAGTGAGTTTTTGAAATAAATCTAGTAATATAGGTAGTAATATGTTTATATGTAATATAGTAACGGTTTATGTATAAAGTAATGTGTTTATAGTTATCACAGTAACACAGTAGATAGAATCTTGAGTTCTGGTGGATATGTAATAGGTCACTATCCAGACGCTTCTTTAAGACACTATAGCTATACCCCCATATCGGACTGCAACATCGAGTCAGGTGGTGGCCGAGCAAGCCTCACAATACTGTACCAATGGGCTCGCGGCATGTCGACTGAGTTCAGCGGTATTTAGTCACAAGAGAGTGGCGACCTATTTGCCCGACGGGACTATTTCCTTTTACTTTTACTTGGAGTTGAGGCTCTACTACCCGGCAGTTCTACCATCGATTCTGACGATGTCAACCACCTAGTCCACAGCCTGGTGATGCATAGAAGGTGACCCTCGCTTGAATTCGTCTCAGTGATAGAAAATTTGCGAAGCATCTATTGTATGTTTTCTTCCCTTCACTCGCCTGTGTCCGGTGTCAAAACAGAGTTAAGGAGACCGGAGACGGCCGGACGCAGGCAGCCAGAGCCGTCACTCCAGACCCAGATCCCGGGAGTGTGAAGGTCATAAAGTCCACGGATGGCTGGTGCCTACGTCTGCACCAACACGTGCCACCATCACCTTCCCCCATGTTTGGTATTTATTAGGGGAGCGCAACCCTAATAACACCTGCCATGCCCTAATATAGCTTCCATGTTGGTCAAGCGCATTTATCACGCAGCCCATTTAGAGGACGCTCTCTGCTAGCCCCTTAGGCAGAGACACTGCGACCAGTGAGAAACTGTACTGAAAAAGACAGGGAGGAAATTAGAATGGAAGTCGTGAGTTTAATAAAAGATATCCGTTACCTGTACTCAGGCCTTACCTCAGGAGGTCGTCAGTTGAATCTGACTGAGCTTGTCCAATTTTTCATACTCAGGTGAAGTGAATTATGAAACCTTACCAGAACACCTATTAACATCGGGTTTTACACGTGCAAAGCAATCCATCGAATGTAAACCAAGAAAATTAACGTGATAAATAGCTGAACTTGAACTTACAATGGGTAGGCAGCACCGTTTTACCAGAGGGCTGATGTTTCAGCACACCCTTTTATGGGCGTTCGTTAAACTCCTCTGCGGAGGAAGTATTTTACACAATCGAATATTATTCATAGATAACTTTCATATGGGGTGGATTATGTAGCTATAGACAGGTTTCTCATACGGTATCACTGCCTATTCAGGAGATTCCGTCTTTGTGAGTGGAAAACGAAGCATTCACAATTGAGCTCTATTTCGTTCATTTTCTGAGATTCATGATTTCAACTCACGCAATAAGTATGTAGATAGTTCGGATTCTTAGCAATAGCAGACAACAGGCGGTCCCCAGACAAACTAGCAGAAGGCCTTAGCTGCTAATAGGGGCATGCTAGCAATAGAACGTTTAAAGTAGCACCCTTGGCTTTAGAGACTGATGAACCA